CTTAAATTCTGTGATTCTATGACAAAAACTGTCTCTTAATCGCCCCTTTTTGCCGCTGCTGTCGCTGTGTCCCGCGGCCCTGTGGTGTGGGTGCGGCGGGGGTGAGGGGAAAAGGCGTTTTTAAGGACTGAGAGTAAACGTCGTTCCAAAGGTCTATGAGTTCCTGGTTCCCTTGTTCACTCTCTGGCTCCTGGTTCACTCCTAAAAAGCCTCATTTGCTCTTTGCAAGGCAAAAGGCCTTTTTCTGTTGCTTTAGTGATTATAAAATCATAGGATTTTAGGAGTTAGAATGGACCTTAATCTAGTCCCAACCCCCTGCTATGGGCAGGGACACTGCCCCACTAGACCAGGTTGCTCAAGGCTTCATCTGACGTGGCTTTGATTAGTTATAAGATCAAATAAAACACAACAAATCTTGTCTCTTCCCTGTAGAAGGGAAACGTGATAATGCCTTCTCAGCCCTGCAGGGCTGGCTGTGTGCTGCCTCTTTCCTGAGCCATTCAGGGGCAGCAGGAGAGGGAAGGAGGCAGATTTTCCTGGTGATACCGGTGGAAATGGCAGTTGCTTCTGGTGTTTTCATTTCATGTGCCTTTTATTTCACGTTAGTAAATATTAGTAATGAATCTGGGAGTAAAAGCAATGCTAAGTGTAATCAGTGATGGACTTTGATCTGTTCCCACTAAGGATTTCTGAATTATAGCAACGCAGTGTTTAGTAGCTATAAAAACAAATTAATGGAGTAGTACAAATAGGAAGGAAAAAAGGTCTGTTCAGAGCACTGTATAACACATACTGCACCCAGATCATCAGTACTGTGTGGTCTGGACTCCCTCTGGCTTAAAGGTGGAATTGGAAAAGAGAGGAAACTGAGGGCCAGGAATGGTGATTTAGGAAAAACCCCTTCCCATTAGGCTAGACAAAATTGCTCTTGGGGGAAGGGAGAGGGAGTGGTGAATGTCTGTTCCATGGCAGGTGATGTCGGAGTGGGGTGACAGTAACAGAGAGTTGTGTTTCTTTTGGTTAATGCAGAGAGTTCACTGGACCAACCCTGCAGGGCTGTGCTGAAGTGCACACAGCCAGCAGCTGGCACTGGTGGTTCTTCTGAGGGATGAAGAAGCCTCCTCACTAGGGCTCCAGTGAGGATTTTATATCCCAAGTTGAAGTCAAGTGAAAGGCAGCACAGTGCTGATTTAACCTGGGGGATTCCTTCCTGTGTATCCAGATGAAAGTTTACAGGGATTTGAAACAAAGACAGAAATACTCACATAAGGGAATGTTTTTGAGGGCTGCCAATAACAGTGTGAGACCAGGAGTGAGAGCTCACCGTGGATTTGCCATGTTTCTAGACATTCCTGTTTGAGAAAGGACATCAGATCAGACTCTTTGTCTCCTTTAGCACAACCCTGCCCATGTGTTCTCTTTCACAAGATTAAAACTAGTAGTTTACAGTAATCCTTTGTTACTGAGACCAGCTTAGGTCTGGTTGCTGTTCCCTGCTCATACTGGGCTGTTTGGAAGGGAGACATCACTGGTGGAAAGTGGTGGCAGTTTTCCATTGATGCTTTCTTAAACATTGAGAAACAAGAAGCTAAAAATGTGAAGTTTTGATGTGTTCCATCCCTTTTTTTTGTACAGTCATAGGTTGCTAAGTTCTTCTGAGTGAGAGGCAGAGTTGAACCTTTCTTGCTATGAGCTCTGGGTGGTGTAGGTTTTTGAACTGAAGAGACTCTTTTTTTCTTGAGTGTCTGATCGTTTTCTGTTCCACTTCATGTCAGTGAAAAAGAAACTCAAAAGAGTCCCTTTAAAATAAATGTTTTCATCTTTTAGAAGCAGAATTGATACTGCTGGCTTTGTTTTTTAAAACTGGAAGCTAAGTATTTTCTGTCTTGTTTCAGCTCTGGATGAAGGAGATATTGCCTTGCTGAAGACATATGTAAGTAGCATCCACATATGAGAGTGTTAAGGACAAAAAGCAGCTCCTGTTGGGAATAGAGTGCAGGGGTGGAGGGCTGTGTACTTAGCAAATCTGCTACTCCTAATGCTTTTCTCTCCTTCTAAAATCTTCCTTTTCACCATCCAACAGGAAGGCCCCAACCTACAGCTGTAAAAATAATCCAGTGGGATTGTTAGTCTGGAAGTAATGAAGTTTTTTTTCCCCTCTGTTTTTGTTTTGTATCTCATGGCTGGTGGCCACAGGGGTCTGACAGCCCAGCTAGGGCTTTTTCAGTAATCAGCTCTCTTGGTTTATGAACAAAATGACTTTCAGACCCTTCTGCCATCAGATTGACTTGCTTTTAGCCATCATGTTAAAAAACTGCCAGAGGGGGACACAGGGACCTTGTTCAAAAGGGTGTAACATTGGGAGGCATTTTCCATGGACAATAAAGCATCCAATACCAATCTCCCCTCTCCACTGGGAACTGCAGTTGATCTGGGAAGGAATTCTTGGAAGATGACACTTGTAGTGTAGCCTATGTCTGGATTTGGATGTTTGCCAGAAGTCTGAGTTTTGTTGGCACTGAGACTCTTTTGCACAGCTCTGGAATTGGGATTGTGCCCACTGGGGCTTCTTTTGTCATGTTGCCAGTTGTATACAAAGGAGATCCTGTAAAGCATGTCCAGATCTGGGTCTGCCTGCACTGTCAGGACAAGGTAGTGAAGCATTTTATCACAAGGAAGAATTCTGACTCTCCTCATCGTCTCTCTTCTGTCTTTTGCAGGTGGTAAAAAGCTTGGGCGAGGTAGTTAAACCACTGGGTTTAAACAGATGGTTTTCAGAGGATGGATTCAGAATCCCACCTGTCTATGATTTTTACTAAGTCTTTTTTAAACTTCAGAAGAAGCAGTTTAAACAAATGAGGCTAGTTTAAAAGAAAAACAAATCCTTGATGCTTACAAAGTGAAAAATTTCCACTTGCACAGTTGGTCAGTTGTGTGTAGCTGCACTTTATTTTTGCAAACAAATATTGTTACTGGAACTTAATACTGTCTGTTTTGGCTGTTGTGCCAAGACAGTCTGTTGAACATCTTGATGCTCAGCAGTTGCTGTCATTTTTTCCTAAGCATGAAATCATTTGAGTTACAAAATATACGTGATAATTCCTTTCCAGGGCCAGAGCACCTACTCGAGGCAGATCAAGCAAGTTGAAGATGATATCCAGCAACTGCTTAAGAAAATCAATGAGCTCACTGGTATGTTTCCTACTTAAGATAGCTTTCAATAGAGAAGCCACAGAACCACAGAGTCAGTTAGGTTGGAAGGGACCACAATGGGTCATCTGGTCCAACCTCCCTACTCCAGCAGAGCCACCCTAGAGCACATGGCTCAGGATTGTGTCCAGATGGTTCTTGAATACCTCCAGTGAGGGAGAATCCATGACCTCTCTGGGCAATCTGTTCAGTGCTCAGTGACTGCACAGGAAAGAAGTTCTTCCTTGTATTCAGGTGGAATTGCTGTGCATCAGTTTTTTGACTGTTACCTCTTGTTTTATTGGTTTGCACCACTGAGAAGAGTCTGATCCATCCTCTTGGCACTATCCATTCATGTACTTGAATACATTGATGAGGTCCCTTAGTGTCTCTTCTCAAGACTGAACAGGCCCAACTCCCTCAGCCTTTCCTCACCACTGAGGTGCTCCAGTCCCTTAATACATTTCTATACATTTCTATAGGTGGTAATACAAAAATTTTTGCTTTGTGATGGTCTTTTTGGTTGGGCTTATCTGTCCGTAGGATTTTGTAATTCCCTGGTATAACACATTCCTATTCAAACCTGTAATTTTCATATATTACAGTGGCATGAAACAAATGGCCCTTTCTGACACTCAGTAATGAAGTAGTGGTACCAGTCCTTGTGTGATGAAGAACAGAATCATCAATGTTGGAGGAGACCTCTAAGATCAAGGCCAACCATTAACCTGCCACTCTGCTGTGACCCCTAAACCCTTTTCATCTGTGTGAATCCCTTAGCTGCACATACCTCATACTGAAGCTTTTCCTCATTTGCAGAGTTTCTCTCCTCTTCTGAAATGTCGACATCCACTGCCTGTGATGTTCACTGAAGCTTTTCCTCATTTGCAGAGTTGCTCTCCTCTTCTGAAATGTAGACATCCACTGCCTGTGATGTTTGTGTCAGGCTTGGCTGTAATCATCCCCACACTGCACAATGGATTGAGAGGGTGGCCAGGCTGGGATTGGCACGTTCAGCTGCCACAATCAGAGGCTCTTCCTTTAGGAAACTTGTTTTTCTTAGGAAGTCCATCAAAGATATGAGTGTGTCTGTGGTCTCTCAGAAAGTTCATCTGCAAGGTTTTGGAGTGGGAAGGGTGGTTGACATGGTCTGTGGTCTCTCAGAAAGTTCATCTGTAAGGTTTTGGAGTGGGAAGGATGGTTGACATGCCAGTTACTTGCTTCCTCCTCATCTTGTCTGTGCTGCACACAGGAATCAAGGAATCTGACACTGGCCTGGCTCCTCCTGCCCTGTGGGATCTGGCTGCAGACAAACAGACTCTCCAGAGTGAACAACCATTACAAGTTGCAAGGTGGGTGCACTCTTCCTCCGTGCAGTGCAGCCCCAGAGTGTTGACAGTGTGATGTGTAGGTTTTGTGTACACTGTTTAAAGAAGTAAGGTTCATGTCAGGTTTTGTGTACACTGTTTAAAGAAGTGAGGCTCATGTGTTGTGCATACTGAAAGTGCTTTTGACCACTGAATGGTAAAGGAACTGGTGCACTCGAGTGTGTGCTACATACTCCATACCTGCACTTACTCCAGCAGTTATTGTATGGTGCTGTAACAGTGGAATCACAAGTACAACAGCTATTTCAGTGTGTTTGAAAAATACAACTCCCTTGAGGCTTATGCAAGTAGCAAGCCAGTTAGTTTATCTGCCTGGAGGTGTAACTGTGTTCTGTATTAGGTGCACGAAGATAATCAATGCAGACTCTGAGGATCCCAAGTACATTATCAATGTCAAGCAGTTTGCCAAGTTCGTGGTGGATCTCAGTGACCAGGTGGCACCTACTGACATAGAAGAAGGCATGAGAGTTGGGTAAGCAAAGTCTTTATGTCCTTAGGAGTCTCCAGGAAGGCTGAAGTTTTCTCATCCAGTCCCTTAGTTTGGCACAACACTGATCATTTCAAATTTCAGCACTGGTTGAAATTGAAGCACTAATGTCTTTCTGTTGGAAAACAGTAACTCACCTGCATGCTGTGCTGGAATCTTTGGCTTTTGGTGTCATTCTGACACCATTTGTCATGGATTGAAACCTTTCAGTCTGGGCCCCAACAGCCCCAGCTTTCAGGGAGCCTTTGGCAGCCTGCAGAGTTACACACTGGGCAGCCAGGAACTGTTCAGTGAAGAGGTCAAACTATTACTTTTACAAGCAATATTTTGCTAGTTTGCTCTGTGGGATATTTTGAAACTTAGTTTTCCAAATATTTCGGAATTAATACTTTTGGAAACCTTAAATCTTCTGCAGAAAAAAATGCCACTTTCTAGCCATCTGACTATTAGCTTTCAGGGCTGGGCTGTCATGGTGCCAGAGAAAAGAACAGCTTAAGAATTCAGCTTCTAATTGACAGAGTTGTTTCTACATGACAGTTTAATTAACCAGTGTTAAAATAATAATCTTTGTGCTTTCTCACCAGGGTGGACAGAAACAAGTATCAAATCCATATCCCCTTGCCTCCAAAGATTGATCCCACAGTCACCATGATGCAAGTGAGAACCTCCTTTACTTGTTTTGACATTGCTTTGTCTTGTAACTGTGGTTACTTTAGCTGGAACATGTTCTGGGTGAAAGCCCAGACAGGTTACAGTTAGGGTGTTCAGGCACTGGAATAGGTTGCCCAGGGAGGTGGTGGAGTCACCATCCCTGGAAGTGTTTAAGGGGCATCTGGATCTGGTGCTGGAGGATATGGTTTAGGGGTTGCAGCAGAGTGGCAGGTTAGTGTTTGGACATCTTAGAGGTCTCTTCCAGCCTTGATGAGTCCATGATTCTTTGATGGGCAGCACCAGGCTGTTAACTGCTCACTCACCTTTTTGTTGTGCAGGTAGAAGAAAAACCTGATGTGACTTACAGTGATGTTGGTGGTTGTAAGGAGCAGATTGAAAAGCTGAGAGAGGTGGTCGAAACTCCTCTGCTTCATGTAAGTAACCTCCAGATTTGGGCTTGTATTGCTTTGGAAGTGTTGTCAGTTAATATCTGAAAAAGCAAGGAAAGATCCTGTAGCTGAATGTAAACAGCCAAGTGAAAAGAAGTCTGGTTTTAACCAGGTAGCTGAATGTAAACAGCCAAGTGAAACCAAGTCTGGTTTTAACCAATGAAATCCAGCCCAGCCTGGTTTATATTGCTCTTCACTGAGGATTTTCATTTGCATGTGCACTTTGATGCACATAATCTTCACTCTGCACATAACCTTGCCTTCTGTCTCCCCCCATTACAGCCTGAAAGATTTGTGAACCTTGGAATTGAGCCTCCCAAAGGAGTGCTTTTGTTTGGGCCACCTGGTACAGGCAAAACCCTTTGTGCCCGTGCTGTTGCTAACAGGACTGATGCCTGCTTCATCAGGGTGATTGGCTCTGAGCTGGTGCAGAAATACGTGGGAGAGGTAAGAGCCAGTGCTTGATGGAATGTGGAGGGATTTGCAGGTTTCCATTGTGAGGACCAGACCTGAGTTATGCTGTTGCTTATGAAAGGGATTTTGCAGTGCAGAGTTCAGTCTGTGGTTCAGGAGGACACTAGGATTAGGATTCTGTTCCCAACTCTGCTACTTATTTTTCACTTGGCCCTGAGGTAAATTACTTTGTCTGTACTTCTGAGTTTGAGTAGTTATTTTTTCTCTCCTTTATAAATTGCTTCAAGCTTTATGAATGTCCCATTATATATGTGAGCAAATAAAAGGAGTTTATTCATTGGAAACTGAGAAGTGTTTGGAAGCCTGAAAAGTTTGATCTTTTTAAACAAGTTTTCCTGCCTCAAATCTCTAACAAAACCTTGATTTTTTTTACTTTCAGGGAGCTCGAATGGTTCGTGAACTCTTTGAAATGGCCAGAACTAAAAAAGCTTGTCTTATATTCTTCGATGAGATTGATGCCATCGGAGGTATGTTTGGACTAGCTATAGTTCTGGTCTCCTAGGAGAGCTTCCAGGTTTTGTCATGTTGTAGTTCTTCATCTGGACTGCTGCATTTTAGGAAATGTGCTTGCCAATACTGAGTTGGCAAAACTCCTCCCAGCACACCCCACGTCCAGGAAGCTGTCAGGGGGTGGTTTATGGAGCCTAGATAGGAAGACATTTTTGCACATTTAGAACACTCAGATCGTTTGAACTTCAGTGAAGAATCTCTCCCTTGTGTTTGCAAAAACACACTGTTAACCTAAACTCCCTTCTGCTTCTGCACTAGACCTTGTGTCCCTCTCACTCTGTGACACGTGTGTCTCCTCTCCAGGTGCTCGTTTTGACGACGGGGCTGGGGGTGACAATGAAGTCCAACGCACTATGCTGGAGCTGATCAACCAGTTGGATGGGTTTGACCCACGAGGCAACATCAAAGTGCTGATGGCCACAAACAGACCTGACACTCTGGATCCAGCACTGATGAGGCCTGGCAGGCTGGACAGGAAGATAGAGTTTAGCTTGCCTGATCTGGAGGTGAGAATGTTTCTTCCACAGCCAGGGGTGCTCTGGTATCAGAGTGTTTCTTCAGTTAGGGCATTGTTGTCTGGAGGTTTATGAGAACTAACAAAAGCAGCACTCTTAACTTATGTGAAACTACATAGAAGTTTGGGGGATTAAAGATGTGCCAAAGGTTTTCCCACACTGCACAGGTTCCATCCCTTGCCAAGAAGACATAGTAAACAGCTATAATCACTGTATGTTCCTGCTCAGTAGATAAAAACTGCTTTAACCAGATTTGTGATTTAGTTCAGAAGTTGGAATGTGTTTTGTTTGGCTCTTTTGAAAGAGATTTCCTGAGGTACTTCACAGAATCACAGAATAATCAGAGCTGGAAGGGACCCTTGAGGATCATCCAGTCCAACTCCTGCCCTGCACAGACATCCCTGACAGTCACA